TATCCTTGACACTTAATTCTTGAACCTATAGCACACTGATACAATTTTCGCAGGTTTGTAGCAAATGTGGTTATTATCTGGTCCTTGGAGACAGAATCAGTCAAGCACTTCAACTTGGTACTGAATGTCCCTAAGTAAGCCTCATCTGTAAAATGGAAATGTTAAAACCTATCAAATGCTGTTTTGTGAGAATAAACTATATGTGAGTTAAATAAAACAGAATGAAATAAAGTGTTGTGAAACTTTTAGCACAGTGCCCAGAACCTAAGACTTTAATTTAGCATAAGCACTACAATCTTTTTTCCTTTTCACAAGCTTTTTGTTTGAATTGTTCTTTTTCTTTCCCTTACTCTAGGTGTTGGCTCTTATTAAAATGTCCACTGAGTCTTTTAAACTCCGTATGATTTATTCCAGTTGCTTGGTCTGCAATTATTATCTATTTCACTGAATGATACTTAGCATATGGTACTTTGGAATGTTTTTGTACTTAAGTTTTGGTTCTGCTTCCCAAGCTAGATTTGAAGCCCACTGAGATGGAGAAACATATCTCATGCTTTCTATGTCTCTCCCTCTTTTTTCCTCATCTTATCTCTCGAAATTACAAAATTCATTCCCTCTCTCTTTGATGACAATTTGATGACATACCAAATGTTCTCACTGAGAACTGCATAATTACCACTGATTCAGAGACAAGTATATAAACATATGAAATAACTTTAAAAAGACACAGAACTAAATTTAAATTTTAGATATTTAAAATTTTATACTTAACATATTTTAAGATAATCAACTTATTATTTAGTTAAGTCATAAAAGTCAATGTAAATCTATCATATTTTACTGATTACTTAAAAAAATTTAGGATCACATTACCTAGTTGAGTAATTTTGGGAACATATTATCAAAAGTTTAATGCCAAAGGTTTGCTTATGATTACTGACAGTGTTACTGTATCTTGGAAAGATAACAGAGCTAACATTTTTAAAGTTGCACAATCATATTTTGGATGGTGTATGTCCCTAAGTTCCCCCTCTTTAGGATTCCAAATAATGTGTCATAGTATATTTGGTATGAAGTAACTCACACCAAACAAGAATTAAAAGATCTATTTTGAACTGATGATATGATCCAAAAAGAAAAGAAAAACACATTTTAAAAGGGACGTAAACAGTTCATGCCAAAAATGAAAACAACTTTACTGATGACCAAGAAAGAAACATCTTCTGGGTTCTATTTTTTTTTTCAAATTCTGCTTCATTGTTTGACCCTCTTTCCAACCAAGCCCAAAAGACATTAACTTATGTTTCCAGAAAAGTGGTCTTACAATTCTGGCTAGTACTTAAGTGCAATTATATAGAATCCAGAATTCTCACAATCTGTCTACATTTTCAGAATCTTGGAAAAATCTGGTATGAAGCAGACTGTAACCTTCTGTAAGGTGATCGTAAAAAATAAATTATGATTTCTGGGTCCACTGAAAATAGCAAGTAGGAAAATATCTAAGCTAAAAAGAGAAATAACTTTTGACATACAGATTCAAACTACACAAGAACCCAGATCTTAGCTTCTAATATTATTCCCTACTCAAAACAGCCAGACTCCTTGAAGAAATGGCTGATTTCAAGGCAGAGGCAGGGAAGGAATAAAATGATCCTAGATCAACTTGTTATGATGAAAAGTTAAAAAGTACTTTTCCTAAAAGGAGATCTGTGAAAAGAACATGGAAATCTGTCTGAGTGGTGCACGCTGGTCAAATATGGGATAATTTGTGCATTAAAATAATAAAAAGCATTAATGATTTATATATTATTGGGGGAAAAAACCTGAATCCACGAGTCTATAGCTCAAATAGACAGGAAGAGAGAGTTCTAGCTTATAGTAAAAGGTCGACTGCTGACTGCTAAATATAGAGGGAGTATGGAGTTAGAAAATAATCATTTTTTGTTATCAGAATCAAAATTGCTATAGGCAAGAATCATTAGTAAATGCTGAATCTAGGGGAACATGATTGATGAATAGTAGGATATTTGCATAGTCTTAGAGTGCCTTCCAGTAGACTGATTATTAATTGCAAACATAAAAATAGCCACTATAAAGTGGAGAAATCTGACAATCATCTGACCAAGTTACCAAAATTAACATCATCAATGAAGGACAGATAGGCATTGTGTACGGATCACGAGGTCAGGAGATCGAGACCATCTTGGCTAACACAGTGAAACCCCGTCTCTATTAAAAAATACAAAAAACTAGCTGGGCGAGGTGGCGGGCGCCCGTAGTCCCAGCTACTCGGGAGGCTGAGGCAGAAGAATGGCGTAAACCCGGGAGGCGGAGCTTGCAGTGAGCTGAGATCCGGCCACTGCACTCCAGCCTGGGCAACAGAGCGAGACTCCGTCTCAAAAAAAAAAAAAAAAAAGAAAGAGTCCCTTAGAAGGAACACAGGTAATATTCCAACTGTTGGTGCAGAGCCTGAAACTAACAATGAGAGACACTGCAAAACGCAAAATAAGAAACATTGTATTAAAAATGGGGGTGAAAAGTTACATTATTTAAAAACGTCCACATTATAGACAAAGAAAGGCTGCACAACTATTCCACATGAAAAGAGACAAAAGAGAAATGACAACTAAATGCGATATATGTAGTATGTTCTAGATCCTGTACTGGAAGAAAAAAGGGATGGGGGGTGCTATAAAGGACATTATTAGGTCAAATGACAAAACTGGAACATGGATGGAAGGTTTTATTATATTGATGTTAAATTTCCTGAGGTTGATAACTGTACTGTTTACATACTGTTCACGTACCTCTGAAGCATATACTAAAGAATTTAGGGTAAGGGTAAATGATACATGCAACTTTCTTTCAAATGGTTCAGAAAAAATAAACTGTGTGTGTGTGTATGGGGGAGAAGGGGAGGGAAGGGAGGGGAAGAGGGAGAAAGGGATAAAGGGAGAAAGGAAGGGTAGGGAAGAAAGACCTCAAATAAATCAATGGGGCAAAATACTAATAACAGGTGAATATGGGTAAAGGCTATATACATATTTGCATTATTCTTGCAACTTTTCTTTAAGTTTAAAATTATTTCCAAATTAAAAGTTTGAAAAATACCCAAGAATTCCTAGAACCTACTTATAAACATCTGCTATTAATATAATGTCAATATATTGCCTTTCTGACAGTTTGTCTAGAAGAAGAGGGGTGAATAGTGAAGAGGGAGAATCTAAATAATTATAGTTAGTTTCATTAGATAATTCCAAGGAGTTGTGAAGCAATACCCTCAAGAATATGTAAATAACAGAAAATGTTGAATTCTCAGCATTAACTTAAATGCTAAAGATCAACAGAGAAATGAAAGGCCAATAAAAGAGACAAAGTGGTTCTTGGGTAGAGAACACTCTCTAACTTATTCAGATTGAATTGATCAAAATGAGAAGTTGATTAGCTATTTGTTGGCAACATACATCCACACATTATCCAGGGGAGAGGAGACTTTAAATCACACTTAAAGTTTTCTGTCCCCATTGATAACATAATCTCTAATTTCAAATAGAAGCAACAGGCTATGTTAGTCTGATAGTCTTTAAGTATTTAACATCAAATATCCCTTAGTTTGATTCCATAATCAAAAGTCCATACTTTGATATGGCTTTCTACTAAGATCTGGTGACAGGAAGACAACGTGCTGATGATGCATATTTTGTTCTATATGCATTTTCAGCACTTTTCACATTCTCTATAAATTAGTAATCTAGCATGTTGGTTTTAATACATCAGTCTAATGAACCTGAATAATGAGTCTGCATCATGAAAGGTAATTTGTCTCCTCTTACTCAAAAATCACATTTCTGCATCCAAAAAATTCAGATCTTAGAGTTTAATAAACATAATCAAAACTACCAAACACTCCTTTGTTAAGCCATTTCAGAAAGCAGGCCAATCTTTTTCTCCCAGTAGTGATACTCTATATGTAGCAGAAACTACAGCAGATTATGCAAACTGGCTTACTCAATATCTTCCAAATCCCCTTTACAGTTTCCTTCTTGTATTATAGAGCCTGGAAAGAAAAACCACCACCACCAGCACCAACAAAAAAAATCCCTTCATTTTTGGGGGCAAAATGGGCTCTGTATGCAATCTTACTTCCACCAAAGAAACAACTCATGTAAAACTTAAAAGCAGAAGTCAGCAGCGTGAGACTAAAGCAGAAGTCAGCAGTGTGAATATCTGCAGGAGAATGGATATTCTAGCACAACTATGGTGAAGGTTATAACGTCTGATATATACCCAGCATCATAAGTGCCAAGTGGTAAAAGGTGGAAGGAATATGGTTTCTATGAGACTAGCACCAAGCTGGGCTGTTCCTAGTACCCAGAATTGGTTCCCTGCTTGTCCCTCACCCCTAAAATTTCATAAGCTGCCAAATACTTTGTTATAACTCCTTTCTGCTTAGAGAAAGTAGAGCCAGTAGTGTGAAATTAAGAACCTCAACCAATAGTCTGAAAGAGCAATTATTTTCTAAGTCTTCATAGTTCTAGCTTATGAATTTCTGCCTGATCATGTTGATAACATTACCCCTAAGAAGAATGAGTTAACATTTGGATGCCTAAACAATAATGTCAGGCATTGTAATTATGATTTGCAAACATTTTGAGTCAATGTTCCACATTCTATGAAAGACCTCCCAGGAGAAGGGCTGGCAGGGAAAATCATAGGTTCACCAAGAGAAGAAATTAATATTCTTAATAAACCAATTCAAGGATGCACTATTTTTAGAAATGTTCAGATTATGATCAATGTTTCGAAAAAGGACAATTAAATCTGGAAAGTAATTTTAACATGTTGCTCTCCTCTCCAACCTTAAACATAAAAATTTCTTCATGCTTCTTAAGCTAGCCCATAAAACTCAAACTTGCAGTTTTAACAAAAATATGGCATATAAAAAACATTCCTAAATGTTGTACCTTCGACTGTACTTTAGCTAGTAAAGGGTTTTGTACCTGAAGATTAATCTCTGCCTCATAGAAGGTCAGGCATGAGCAGTAATGTCGATCTGAGTCAATATCTGTCAGGACAACCACAAAGAACGTTGGCTGCTTCCTCTCTCTGGACAGTTGCCACCCGCCAGGCTGACAAAACTAAATGAAATAGAAAAAAAAAAAAAGTAACATTTAAAAATAATAGAAGTTAATTATTAGTTAATCTCTGAGAAATTTTAAATGTTTGCCCATTTTAACAAATTCCTACCTGATGAGGTATGACTCTAAAGCCTATATTTTTTTTAAAAAGTTCATGTACAGATTCATAATGTTGAAAACTTTCACCAATGTGCATATATATTTCATGAAGACAGCCTAGATTTCCCACAGATGCCACTCTGGGTGCCATTTCTGAGACCTAGGTTGGCATATGTAGGAACACCACATCAAAATGAAAGACTCCCTCCTAACTACGAGAACAAATCATGGAATAAATTGGAAATCAAGTGCAAAATATTTATCACTGAGAGAAAATAGAGTTATTTTAAAATTTCCGTATGAATCTGAGAGTCTTCAATTCATTACAAAAAAAGAGATATCTTGTTCAGCAAGACAGACCATATTCTTGTCCATAAAACATACTTTAACAAATTTAAAGAAGAGAAATCATACAATGTCTGCTGTTAGACCATGACAGAATTAAACTAGAAATCAGTAACCGACAGATAGCTGGAAAATCCAGAAATACTTGGAGGTTAAACAACACTTTTTTTTTTTTTTTTTTTTTGATATAGGGTCTTGTTCTGTTACCCAGGATGGAGTGTAGTGGCATGATCACAGCTCACTTTAACCTCAACCTCCTGGGCTCAAGCGATTCTCCCATCTCAGCCTCCTGAGTAGCTGGAACCACAGGCACCTACCAGCATATCTGGCTAATATTTTTTATTTTTTATTTTGTAGAGAAAGGGTCTTTCCATGTTGTCCAGGCTGGTCTCGAACTCCCGGACTCAAGCAATTCTCCTGCGTCAGTCTTCCAAAGTGCCAGGATTATGGGCATGAGCTACTGCACCCAGCCAAATAATACTTTTTAAATAACATTATGAGTCAAAGATGAAATCTCAAGAGAAATTTAAAATATATTTTGAGCTAACTGAAAATGAAAATCCAACATCAAAATTTGTGGGATGTGGTGAAAGCAGTGCTTACAGAAAAATTTATATCACTGAATGCACATATTAGAAAAGAAGAAAGATCTAAAGTCAGTAATCTAAGCTTTGACCTTTGGAAACTAGAAAAGAAGAGCAAATTGCATCCAGAGTAAGCAAATAAAGAAAATAAAAGTTAAAATTGAAATCAATGATATTAAAAACAGAAACTCAGTAGAGAAAAATCAATAAAATAAAAGGCTGCTTCTTTGAAAAGATCAATAAGCCTCTAGCTAGGCTACTTAAGAAAAAAAAAGGCACCAATTACTAACAAATGAAATGAAAGAGGGAATATCAGTACAGATTGTTCTGGGCGGGAGACCCGCGAGAGAAGAAAAGGCACATACACAATACTTTTAAAGGTAAACAAGCTTTATCCCATATGTAGATTTAACAGGTAAATGATACAATAAGCAAACTAATAAATTAAGCAAATTGATATAATAAGCAAATGATATAATAAGCAAATTGCATTGCGAAGGGGAGAAGGGAAAAAGAGATAAATGTCTTTACACCCACCAGACTATGGAGGATTCACCACCAAACTGGGAAGCAACAGCCTGGGCTCCAGAGCTGGACACCGCACTCACCAGACTATGGAAGATTCACCATGCCAGAGGTGGTGAATTCCTCTTCAAAGGGTTTCATTGTGTAATGTCCTTGGTTCGAAGGCCCTATCTCCTTGTACTTTCTTGTTTTTAGCCTGCAAGCAGCCCTCCTGCTCTTGCCGTGCCCTAACTTGCCCAGACATGTCCAGACACGTCTTGTGCCACAGCAGAAGAACAATTGCTACCCACTCCCTTGTGAATCGCGCATCTACCCTATTTGTTCAGTGTGCTCTTGCAATCGTGGCTGATGCAGGGAGCACCCTTCGGCAGAAGTAAATTGCCTTGCTGAGAACGCTTTTTGCCTGAGTGCTGGTTTCACTTTGTGGCTCCGAGCACTTGTTTCTAACAACCACCAGACTGGGAAGCAACAGCCTGGGCACCATAGTCAGCCACTTGTCTGTACACAGACAAGGAGAGGTCTCATGAAGCTTCAGTGCAGCGTGGGAACCTAGCTGTTTTTGTAACGAGTTGTTTGGCAGGAGGTCCTGTCACGAAGGCCCTTGGTGACTGTGCTCAGGGAACACAAAAAAGTCAACTTGTTTTTATGATTGTCTATTGGTTTTCTTTTTTTTGGGATGAGTCCTGCTCTGTCGCCCAGGCTGGAGCGCAGTGACACGATCTTGGCTCACAGCAACCTCCGCCTCCTGGGTTCAAGTGATTCTCCTGCCTCAGCCTCCTGAGTAGCTGGGATTACAGGTGCCCGCCATCGTCCCCGGCTAATTCGTGTATTTTTAGTACCAACGGGGTTTTGCAATGTTGGCCAGGCTGGTCTTGAACTCCTGACTTCAAGTGATCCACCCGCCTTGGCCTCCCAAAGTGCTGGGATTACAGGTGTGAGCCACTGCACCTAGCCTATTGCTTTTCAATAACCAAGGTATAGGAATAGATTGAAATAGAGATTTCTCTGAAACAGTGCTGGAAGAACGCCTCAAGAGGCTCACACAACCTGTTCCAGGACTTGGTGACCATTGTTTGTGTCCATGTTCAGTTGAGTTCAAATTTAATATTTAACTTTTCCTCCACACAAAAGTTCCCATGAACTTTTAAAAGATAATCAATGAATATTATAGACAACTCTATGCCCACAGCTGTGACAATGTACATGAAATGTACCAATTTCTTGAAAGACACAATCTGCCAAAACTCACACAAGAAATGGACAATCAGAATAGTCCTATATTGTTAGAGAAACTGAATAATTAATAACTTTCCAAAACAGAAAGCCCCAGGCCCAGATGGATTGACTGGTGGATTCTTTTAAACATTTAAGGAAGAAGTTACAGTCAGCCCTCTGTATCTGTGGGTTCTACATCTGTGGATTCAATCAACCATGGATCAAAAATATTTGGGAAAAAAAAGAAAAATAACAATACAACAATAAAAATAGTATATATAAAAATCCAGGTAGTAGCTATTTACATAACATTTACATTGTCTTAGGTATAAGTAATCTAGAGATGATTTACAATATAAAGGAGAATATGCATGGGTTATATGCACATACCACACCATTTAATATAAAACATTTGAGCATCTTCGGATTTTGGTATGTGTGTGGGATTCTTGGACCAATCCCCCTGCAGATTCCAAAGGACAACTGTACACCAATTATCTGCAAACTCTTTCAGAAAACAGAAGCAAAGGGAATACCTTCTTCATTCTATGAGGCCAGCACTATACTAATACCAAAACCAGATATAGACAGTTACAGAAATAAAAATTATTGACCAATATTGCTCGTAAACATAAAAGCAAAAATATTAGCAAGTTGAATTCAACAATGAATAAAAAGAATATCATAACCAAGTGGAATTCATCCCAGGCATGCAAGGCTGGTTAACCATTCAAAAATCAATTAAACCATTACATCATATCAACAGGCTAAAGAATAACCATGTGATCATACCAATAGATGCAGAAAATGCATTTGACAAAATCCAATACCTATTGATGATAAATAGCCTCAGTACACTAGAAGTAGAGGGAAGCTTCCTCAACTTGATAAAGAATATCTTTAAAAAAAAAAAAAAAAAAACTCCTACGGCTAGTAGCATACTTAATGATGAAAAACTCAAATGATCAGGGGAATAAAGTTAAGGATGCCCCTCTCACCACGCTTCTTAATATTATCCTAGAAGTCTTAGCTAAAGCAATAAAATGAAAAAGAAATAAAAAGCATATATATTGGGAGGAAAGGAACAAAACTGCTTTTGTTCACAGATGACATGATTGTGTAAACAGATAATCTGAAAGGACAAAACAAACAAACAAACAAAAACCCCCCCTGGAACTAATAAACAATTAAAAACAAATTCTAAGGCCTGGCGCGGTGGCTCAAGCCTGTAATCCCAGCACTTTGGGAGGCTGAGACGGGCGGATCACGACGTCAGAAGATCGAGACCATCCTGGCTAACCCGGTGAAACCCCGTCTCTACCAAAAAATACAAAACACTAGCCGGGCGAGGTGGCGGGCCCCTGTAGTCCCAGCTACTCGGGAGGCTGAGGCAGGAGAATGGCGTAAACCCGGGAGGCGGAGCTTGCAGTGAGCTGAGATCCGGCCACTGCACTCCAGTCTGGGCTACAGAGGGAGACTCCGTCTCAAAAAAAAAAAAAAAAAAAAAAAAAAAGTTCTAAGGTACAAAGTTAATATACAAAAATCAACCACTTTTCCTTTATGTCAGAAATAAGTGGAATTTGAGGCAAAAATATAATACCATTTACATTAGCACTCCACTAAATGAAATAATTAGGTATAAATCTAACAAAATATGCAAAAGATCTATACGAGGAAAACTATAACAGTCTGATGAAAGAAATCAAAGAACTAAATGAGAGATTCCATGTTCATGGAAAGGAAGACTCAATACTGACAAAATGTCAGTTCATCCCACTTTGACCCACCTATTCATCATAATTCCAAAAACAATCCCAGCAAGTTATTTTATGGATATTAACAAAATGATCCTAAAGTTTATAAAGAGAGGCAAAAGATCCAGGATAGCCAATACAATATTGGGGAAAAACAGTTGGAGGACTGACACTACCAAACTTTGAGACCTATCAGGAAGCTGTAGTAAATAAGACAGTGTGGTACTGGCAAAAGAATAGGCAAACAGATCAACGAAACAGAACAGAGAGCCCAGAAGTAGACTTACATAAATACATTCAACTGATCTTACATACACATGGCAAAGTGCTCAGAGAAGCCCCTGGCATATAATCCAGTGGATGTAAATGTTAGGTATTATGACCATGACCCTCTTTAATCCAACCCATGTTTCTATCATCATCTCTTTGACATTTTCCTCTTTTGCACAGACATTTTTCAAAACTAGCTCCTGCTTTC